AATGGCTGTATATTATACAGGAGGGAGCAGTTGGGCTGCCAGACTGGGAATGCACTAGGCCATCTGGCCCAGGCAGTCTCTCCAAAATCCTCAGCTTTGTTTTCACCCCCAGACTCCAAACAACACATTTTCCACTGTGATGAGTTTACATTTTCCCAAACACACAAGTCCTGATCAGGCATGCAAATTCCAAACTTCTACATTCTTCTTTATATGAGGAAATTAAAATCACCTGCACTTTTTGACATATAACCAAAGGGACACGGGAGCTGCTAAAACCTGGCTTGACTGCAAACTTTCTCTCTGTCATTTCAAAAGCGTGTTGTGCTCAATAGCCTGGATTCTGCCGAGTCCTTTTCTGAATGGATTCATAATATTTTAATCACATATGTGCCAGCCAAAGAACCATGCCACATGCAGCCTGGGGGGAGCTGATGGAATCGCTGTGTGCATTTGCACAATAAGATTGTACCATAGGTGGAAAAATACATTTATTTCAGGAATCTGAAGCTCAGGGAGGAAAATGTATATCATAAAGCTGAAAGAATCTGAAACAGTGTGAACTGCCATTTCTACAATGTCTTACATATTATTTGAAGCAAAGTTCTCTGGAAATCAACCTGTACTTACTGCCACACTCTACGTTATGACTGAGCTGTGAGGAAATCCATACTATCTAATAGTATATGCATGCCAAGACAACATTCCAATGCTGCCAGACACACAACCTCTACTTTTTATATCTCTGATACCCCCAAAGCTAAGTGTGATTTTGATGTACAATATCACTCACATACTGAGTACCTAACAAATGGTAAACTTCAGGTACCCCATGAAAGTTTCAAACCCAATTTGCTTTTTCAGAGAAAGGTATTGGTTTATACATATGCACAAACACAGAATTAACACCTGTGGCTAGCTCTCTCTGAAGACAGCGGTAAGATTCTGATCCGAATAACACTGCAGATGATAACAGAATCCACAGTGCAAATCTAAACGGAGGTATACCCTCCTAAACCCATTGATTTCAATGGATGTGACTCTGTGTAGGATTGTACTGCTAATCTCATATTCTTTGTAATACCAAACACAAATATGTGTTAGTACTTAATCAAGTAACTTCCCACTTAGGTCCACAGTGCTGTCTTGTGAATAAATAACTTCAAGATTTCAGGTTCAAGACATGGATTTCTGTAACGTAACTTGCCTATTATTTTACTTGTTGAAAATGCAACAGAATTTGAATACTTCCCCCAACTTGAGTAACACTGGTATGATGTGTTCTGTTGTACATAGCAATATCCAAAAGCCCAGTGTCTATTCAAGCAGGACACCAGCCAGATATGAAAAGAAAGGAATCTACAGATTAACAGCAACAGCAACAACGTAATATAAATAACAATATGATAAGTCACTCTGCATGAGAACAAGCACTCCGACATGGAGAAAACACTGCTAGTTTGCTGAATCAAACAACTGCCTAAATTTTGAAACACATCTATGACTATCACCATTGCAGATTCTAAAGTAAAAACCATTTTGCTTTTAATACTGAGAGTATGTCTTTTGGGGTATTTTCCTAGAGGGCCAAAAAAGAAACCAATCTATTTAAGCATTTACTTTTGGGGATATTTAAAAAAATATTGACAAACGTATCCATGAACATAAATCTAGGGAAATCACTGATGACTTTAGCTGACACCACCCTGTTAAAACATGCATGTTCCTACCACTATTTCATTTAGAAGTCATCATTCCATTATCCAATTTGTTCTTAGTCTTCAGAATGGGAACACTACCCCTTTAAGTATGCTGACAATATATATTTAACTTGCATTAAAAATTGAAGAAAATTTTAACCAGGCTTTGCCCAATTTAATTACAAGCTGAAAGTTACTCCAGAATCTGCTGTATTATTCACACTTTGTGTAAACTATATACGGCATCCCTGCATTTGGACACGCTGGCATCTGTAGCACAGACTTTCCTGTAGAACCCTTGGAACACAAGCTCCAAGCCCTCCAACAAAAAAAAGGCATTTCAAGGAGAAATCTAAGCAAACACCCTTGCTTTCTAGAAATAGTAATAGGACCATAACACAAAAAAATCTGTGACATTACAATTCTAAGTATACTTAAAGCCAAATGCATTTTGACAGAACATGTTTGCTGTGATCACACTGTTCTCTTCCTCCTCATACAGATGGGCTTTTCTCTGTTAATTTTACCCTGTAAAACTGGGTTTTGCACTCTCAAACTTCTATTCAGTGATTTTAATCTTCTATACCCACTTTCTGTTTTGTTCAAGGAAGGAAGGAAGGAAGGAAGGAAGGAAGGAAGGAAGGAAGGAAGGAAGGAAGGACGGACCTGTATACAGTGAGGCTGTTTAAATCTCACTGGAATTAATGGAATTCAAAGTGCCCAACTGCATACAGGATTGAAATTCATATATCTTTAAAATCACACAGATGATTTGAAAATAATGCAATCACAGGCAAAGTGATATATTTTGATATAAAAATTTTAAAAATTATAGGCAAAGTGCCTTATTAAGGAAAATATCTAAATGCCGTTAGGACTTAAAATAGTGGCTTTCCATGAGGGATCATAATCACAAAAAGAGGGTAACATTTTTAGATTAACATTTAGTGGTATACACTCACCAATGCAATCATGCCCCCTTAAAAAATTTAAAATGAATCTAGTCATTTCTTTATTCATTTAGAAATGTTTCTGCCTCTTTAAATATTAGCTCATGGATTTGTGACAACCAATTTAGACTGACACTCAGTAGTCTACTTCCCAAGATGTGTTATAAAGGAGATTCAGTTCCTACAGGCTATGAAGTGTTTTTAGAAGAGCATCAGTTTAACTTGTTTTATCTGACTGATGGAATTGTCTAACAGAATGCCTCATTTTTTTTCCTTTTTCCCCTCATTGTAAGGCAGCCATCAATAGCAGGAAAAGAGGTTTAGGGTGCATCAAAGACAGTGCTCTAAAACAAACTCAACACCTTGACCTTTCTGGTGTGGTGTCAAAAAGGCACCAAAAACAAAGTCAAGCAACGAAAGTTTTAGAAGACAGAATCTGAAATGCTCAGAAGCTGGTTTATAAATATGTGTGTGAAATATGATGATTTAATCTGACCTTTAGACTAGGGCACCCCTCCCCAATCTTTCTTCAGGGGGAAAAAAAGAATTTGGGTAGGACCACATACATGACTTGTCAAAACATAATGAAAGCCAGTTACACTGAATTTAAAAGTCTATTTTAATACCAGCAAATTAGTAGGGTTTTTTTGAAAGGTGTTTTAATTAAATCAGTGCACAACAATATTATCATTTCCTCCTTTTCCTTATAAATAAATCTATGTGGGGGGGTTGTGTGTGTGTGTAGTCTTGTACCTGTAAACACAATTGTGTGCCTCTGAGTGTGTATACACACTTCAGCTCTCTAAATTAAATGTCATGCTGAAAATTACTCTGCATCACAGGGGGGCTCTCCATATTACAGATTAAAACTAGAGTTATCTTTGAATGTAACATTTCTAAAAATAATTACTTATCCTCCCTGCATACATTTCACTGCCTGGTTATACAATGCAAGTGCAAATCTGTCATGATTTAATCGCTGTCCCTATAAAACACTAACAGAGTAATTGCAAATAAGCAAAGGATAAATATTTGCTACATTGGCTGGCTGCTGTTCTGTGCTCCCGTGTTTGTTTTTCTATTTCTTTTCATTCCCATAATTAAAGTATTGGGGGGGGGATTCCTGTGATTTCAAAGCCTTCAGGGAGCATAAAGCTGTAATTTTTATGTTTTTGATTGCTTCTGTGCATGATTAAAACTTGGAGGAAGCAAACAAAAAAACCCACCCAAACCCCCACAAAACAGCAACTCCTCTTTTGCTCCTAAATAAAAAATTGATCTGCGCATATATTGCCCTCGAGGAAATTGATAGCCAGGGTGATTCTGTACCTTTAAGACCGCCGTTCGTTCACCCCGTCCTGGCTCTTGGCCAATCTGAAACCAAGAGCAGGAGGCGCTTTGGGGATGTGGGATTTACCTATCGCGGCCAATTCCCAATTCCACAAACTCTTGAGGATCTGGCGCAAGACGCTCTGAAGTGCGGCTGGTATAAATCCGGGGTCTCGATTCACTCCGAATTGGGAGGCGCTCGATCTTCTTTCGGCTCCATTGCGGGGGGGGGGGGGGATTTCTCTCTCCCTGTGCTGTTAACAGCTACAAACTTTGCTTCCCCTGCCTGGAAATCGTTACGACTACTACCGTTTTCCAGCCTGCTTTTCAAGAAGCAGCAGCAGGGCATTTGGAATGGGAAATTTTGGGGTGGGGGCGAGAGATGGGATGTTTTATCCATACATCCATTAGAGCTGCCTCTACCAGTAAAAGAATTAAAATAATTCTTTCCAATGTTTTCATTTTTTTGTTTTCATTTTTAAAAAAAATATCCTTAAGTGTGTGCGTGTTTGCCTCCAAAAAGGGGGGGACTCTTTGGAAATACTTTAATAATACTTTTACAAACCCTCGCTCTATCACAGGCTGCAATCTCGTGCGCAGTTCCTTGGAAGTCCGATCTGTTGAATCAAGTGGAGCTTACTTTTGAATAAACATATATTGGATCGGGCAGCGACGGGGGGGGAGAGTCTTCCTCTTCCCCCATTAATAGAAAGGCTAATCTGTGTCAGGGTGGGGGGGGGAGTCTTCCCACAGGAAGAGGGCTGGGGATGGACGGCCTGTCTCGGCGCACAAAAGGCTCAGGCTTCATTACACGGCTTGACCCCGGCCGCCTGTGTCGGAGCGCTCGCCCCCTCGAGAGCCGGAGCAGCAACCCCCAGCCCGCCGCTTCTTCCAGCACAAGCCCAACCAAATCCAACGCCGCATCTTTCTCTCTCACTCACATCCCCTCCACCTCCATCCCCACCCCCATCTCATCTGAAGCAGGAGTGGCTGACAATGAATTAAGGCAAGCCAAACTTACTTGTTTTGTCATGGAGTCGATTAAGCGGACGTAAAAATCCTGTTCTGTTCGGATTCCTAAGTGAGGGGAGAGGGTGACGGAGGGGAGGGGGCAGAAAACACACGGACACAAAGCATGATCAGCATCGTCAACTGAAAGAGCGCAGACGAACCACACTGACAGCTCTTTTCTCGCACTTCATTTGCCGGCGACTTGGCTATCCTAAAACTGGGCAGAAAGGAAGGCCTTGCTCCTGGCCAGTGTTTATTAATGCTGGGCCGAGATCGACCCAATGCAGACTTTAGTCCTGGGGCGTTCAGCGAACATTTTTACAAGGCCCTTGTTCGTAAGAAGAAATAGAGACCTTTTGTTGTTGTTGTTGTTTTTAAACACACGCACTTCCCCCCCCTCCTAGCAAGCCAAGACGGTTGTAATCCCCTCCCCTCCCTTGGAGATCTTCCGGTGCCCCTTGGCCCCTGTTTGACTGGAGATGATAACAGCCACACTTCAACTCCTCGCTGTCCCCCCTTCCCGCCCCAGCCCCGCTGCGGCCAAATCGCGGGGGGGGGGGGATTATTCTAACCAGAAGGGGAGAAAGAAAAGTTTGCTCCGTTTTATTTAGGTTCTGGCTGCTTTGTCTGAGGTGGAAATGTTATGTCTGCCAAACTGGGCACTGCGAGGAAATAAGGGCCAACAGCGTTTCAAGAATTGCCCGGGCGGTGGTGGGAGAGCAAGAGGGGGTTTGCTGTGGTCCAGACCCCCCCCCATAGTATCGCCTGCCAGGGGGCCAGGCCCCTTTCCTCCTCATTTCGAGAGGTTAGCAGTTGGGGTTAAGCCAGGGAGCTCCCTGGAGACCGAAAAGCGCTGCGAGCTGTCAGGAGGGTTAGGCGGAACAAGACAGGGGCTCACCGTTGCTGTAGAGAAGCTGCAGCCGGTAATGGATCCCGTTGTTGGTCTTTTCACTGTTGGCTTCCTGACGGACACAACACACAAAGACAGAAAAGAGAGGCGCTTCTTTTGAAATGTTCATAAATTTTACCATCGTCGGAAGCCCCCCCGTCCCTTTCGGCCTCCAGTCAACGTGGGGACTTCGAGGTTGGTGCCAAAGGGAAGGAGGGAGCTGGGATTGGTGGGACAGAGGCCCCCAAACGTTCGGATTAAGCCGAAAAAAGGAGCACGCCTGAGGTCAGGGATGTCCTCAAAGGGAAGTCGCGGTGCCAGAAGTGACCACGTTGTGGGGGGGGCGGGGGGGGGAGACAGACAAAAGTGATTTTGCGAGAGTTTGGAGGGTCGATCGCGGGGGTTGAAGGGGACGAGCAGGGATTCTGCAGTGGAAAACAGCACACACAGAGACCCCCAAAGAAAAAAACATGCAGCAAGTGGCAAAGCACGAGTTTTAAGGGATGCATTAGAGAGAGTATTATTTCCGCAGTGACGGGAGACGACTCCGATTTGGGTGTAATAGGATTAAAACCCCTTCATTTCCCCCCCCCCCCATACTTACTTTCTCCTTCTCTACGAAGCCCACGAAGGCGGTTCGTTCGATCTCGACGGGCTGCCCCTGCCGATCATACAGAGCCAGCACGAAGTGGAAGAAGTTAGATTTCCTCAGATTGGAAGGCGGCTGCTTCTCGAAATGCGCCCGGGCCAGGCCCACCCCGCTGCGGCCAAAAGAGACCGGGTTAGAGAGAGGAAGAGACACGCCAATAGCCCCAAGACCATTTTTCCCTTTCAAATCTCTGGATGGGGGAACGTCTGTACGCCCTTTCGGTCCATCACCCCCAGGGATAGGATATTAAAAATAGAGGGGTCTGAAAAGGGATGGGGACAGGGGTGGTAGCGAGAAAGTCCTCGGACTCCTGGGTCAGGTTCTTGCAAAGGGATCCCAAAGCTTTGCTACGGTTTTCAAACAGGCTTTCGGGTCAAAGCGCACGCACGGGCCCTCCTAGGTCACCAAGCCCATGTCAGTTTCAGGCACCGGGGAGACTTCTCCAGCTTTTGTTCCAGGGTGTCAGGAGCCTGACTAGCACAGGCAAAAAAAAGGGGGGGAGGAAGCAACCGCAAACTTATTGATTCGGCCACATTGGTGCGCGCTTCTTTTCCCCGAGAAGGGAGACTGGCTCCTCGGAGGAAAAGGGGAGAAACTACTCTCTCCAAACTACTTTTCAAACAGCATTCAGTTCCTCCGTTTTCTTCTCTATGGTCGCTAAATAGCAGATAGTTTGGTCCGGGCGAGACCCTCGTGTTCCCTCTCAAAGTGCTGCAGCCGCAAATATTCCTTCAACTCTGGCCTGAGCTGTCAGTAACTCGACCATGTGCCCTGTCTTTTCACCTGTGCCTTTACAGCGTCTCGAAGCCCAGCATCTTTTGTGCTGGGAAAACATCCCAAACCGCGGAGAGAGAGAAAAGTTAAATATCCCAGCCTTTGGGCTGTCCCTACAGAACTTTCCCTTCCGAAGAGAGTTCGGAGACGGGGGGGGGGAGAGAGGTGGGAGCTGAGGAATGAAGTGAAATGCACCAGAAGATGTCAACACTGAAGTTGAGAGTTCACAGCCTGGTTCCGGATACATATCCGAAGCTGAGCTTAAGGCAGCAACCCTAATCAGAGTTGCTTAGGAGTAAGTCCCATTACAAACAGTTGGTCTCATACGCGGGTAAACCTGGACAGGCTGGGGCGATAAGATTCAAAGATGTCCTGCATGCAGTTTGCCGAAGTACCGTGTTTGGGAAGGGGTGGCGGAGAGGATGTGTGAAGGACAGTTAGAAGTAAATACAGAGATCTGACAGTCTGTGCAAAAACTCTGGCTTTGGCAAAAGGGGGTTAAAAACCAAAACTAATTCGGTCGACGCGCCTATAAAAAGTTATTTTCGACTTTCCAACTCACAGAGCGAAGCTTTAGGAGGCCAAAAAAATGCAAATAGCGTCGCGCTACTGATTACTTTGGGGGGTGATGATCATGCTGGGGAGCAGTACATACTAAGCACAGCTTTGCTCAGCTCGAAGGGGATCGTGGGAGCATCAGCGGCAGAAGCACGTATTGGTTCTGTCTCTGACAACTCCCCTTCCTTAAGGAGGGGAAAAGTGAAAGTTGGAATAATAGGGCTTGGTATGCATTGCGTTTAGCAAAGAGAAAGAAAGAAAGAAAGAAAGAAAGAAAGAAAGAAAGAAAGAAAGAAAGAAAGAAAGAAAGAAAGAAAGAAAGAAAGAAAGAAAGGCCCTGCTCCCCCAGAAGTCAATCGGAAACGCTATAAACACCGGGGCCGCGGTTGCGCAAGAATCTGTTCCTCTCCATCTAACACAAAAAGTCTTTTCTTCTGCCGGGTTGCTCGTCTGCTGTCGTAGGAATCGCTGCCCGTCAGCTGCAGACCCGAGGCCGGCTGGAGCTCAGGACTAGCAAGCAGGGAAGGGGGGGAAGGCAGGGGAGTGGAAGCGACGGATGCTGCCGCCGCCGCCGAGCCTGCTACGTACCTCTGAGCGGCCGTGTTGGCATCCAGGACGCCGGCTCCCTGCATCCAGGTCCTGACCGCGTTCATCCCCGCGCCGAGGGGCTCTTCCTTCATGCTGCTCCCACTCCTCTGAATGCTTTCCTGAATCCCAAACATGAATTAAAAGCGACCAAAGCCTTCCCTCCTTCTTAAAAAAAAAATAAAATAAAAGACAAGGGGGATAGGAAAGGGGGGGGGGAAGGCACGGCACGAGACAACAACAAAGAATAGTGTTGGTGAGGAATTAAAAAAAAAATCGCCCGGGAGTTTCTTTCTCTCGCTCGCGACCGGCGGAATCAAAAGGAATCAGAGGAAATCAAACACAGACATCGAAGCCGAAGAAAAGAATCCACGGGGGAACCCCCCGATCACCCCCCGGGGGTTGGCTGCGGATGCTCTCGGCTGCCTGGTGGGCTTGTTCTTTCCGAGGGTGGCCGGTGGGGTGGCCTCTCTCTCCCTCTCGCTCGCTCTCTTTCTCTCTCGGCTTGTTTGCTGTTTGTTTGCCCGCTTGACAGGGATCACCCAAGAAGCCGGGAGGACCAAGCCGCCGTCCCTTCCGCGCTGAAGTCACCCCCTTTTGGCTTGCCGGAGAAAGAAGGCAGTTTTAAGAAACAATAGGATCGACCGGAGCTGCGGCGGCGGCGCCCTCGGCTACATCAAGTGTCATTTTCCAGTGTCGGGAGAGGCAAGTTTGGTGTCTCTCCTGCGCCCTTGCTTTCCTTCCTCCCCCCTCTCCGGGCACCGATTTCTCTCTCTCCCCCTCTTTCACGCGCGCTCTCTCTCTCTTTCTCTGCCTTCCTTTCTTCAGCAGCGCAGGAAGCTGGCTGGCGGCTGGGGGGAGAGACACACACAGGGAGGGGGGGAAAGACACGCGGCGTGCGGACGCCGGGAAAGGTGGCCGCAGCAGCAACACCACCCTGCGTGGATGGAGATCCTCCCGGCTGCCTTTTTTTCCGCCTCCGCCCCCCCTCTCCCCGGCCCAACCGGAGTGATTTGCAGGCTTTCCCAATGGAATCCACTTTGACTCTCCCCGCAGCTAAACAGGAGCGCAGCAGCCCCAATGGGCAGGGGGCGGCGCCGCGCGGACGCGGCCCCGCCCCCTTCGTTTGCATAGCGTCACCGCTTCCTCGGCCACTCGGCGCTGGTCCAATCGCAGTCGCGGACTCCGAGCGGCGGCGGGGGCTGGCTGGATGGCCACGCCCCCCTCATTAGCATCTCCCAGCCTCCTCCTCCTCTTTTTTCCCACCCAGCTGGGGAAGACCAGAGAAAGTTGCGCTCGGAGCGC